TGAGTATCCCTGCGCGCTGACGCGGCTGGGGGGCTCGAAAGTCCTCAGCGGGCTGTGGCAAAAATGAGCGGCGGAAGAGGGTGGCGTCGAACCCGGGTCACCAGTTCTCCGCACACGGCCACGGGAACTTCGTAGTATACCGGTGAAACAGCAGCGAAAAGACACAGTCGTTTCCCGTTCGCCCCCAGCCGGGACTTGAACCCGCGTCAGCGAAGCTGAGATCCTTTTTATTGGAGTAATTGCGCCTGTGTGCGTCCATCTGATTCCTCGACTCGGTGCCGCCATGTCTGCCGCGACGATTCCCCCCCCCCTCCCCCGCCTCTCGCTCCCGCCCCTCACGGTCGATTGCCCCCCGCACGGATTGACGTCTGACAGCGGACCGGAACGCAACAACGAGCCACCCACACACACACAACAAGTTTCACATTATTTGGTGCGATGCAGAGAAATCAGCGAGTCAGCCATGCGTGTCATCGAAATGCCTACACCCTCGTCACTTACCCTGCTAAAATGCGGGCCCGCCTTTCGGGTATGTGTATCGTTTGTGGACATGGCTGCAGGACAATGTTTCCAAAAAAAATTAAAAATTAAGGCTCAATTTTTGTTGTAACAATTTTGTATTCAAAGTAACGGAAATAAAATCTAAACGATAAAGAAAACTTCAGCGAAAGAGGGCACCCCGGCGAACCGGCCCTCTTCCCTGCGGGAGTGGTGCGGGAGGTGAAATTTTGGCTGGTCGGCCGGTCGGACAAAACGACGAGCACCGTCCCTTTCATTCACTACTTTTTTTGGAAAATCTTTTTTGACTGTGCAGTTTTGCAGAAAAGAGACTATAACTGCGTGTTATTGGAGGTGCAATCGACCTCGGCGCTCAGGTGGCGCGTGAGGAGCGGGCGGGGCTGTGGAGGGCGCAGCTGCTCCCCCCCCCCTTTCCTGCGCCAATTTCGACTTTTTTACTCGTCGCGGATCGCAAACAAAGAGCCCCAGCCACCCCTCCGATGGGGCGCACAGACAAAGTTATTATTTCGCGACGGAGGTCCCTGGGCCACACATTCTGCGGCACGCGGAAAGGAGGAGAAGGAGGAGAAAGGTGTCATCCATTACGGGGCTGTCTTCGTTCTTGTTGCTGCTCTTGTTGTTGATGTTGTTGGCCGGAGGGGCCGGAGGCTGCTCGATAAATTAAGCCGCGCGACAATGAGTGCTAAATGGCGGCCCGTTCGACGCGGGCGCAATCGCCAAGGCAATTCGGCGCCGACGCGACGCTGTGAAATCAGATTTCGTAATAACGAAGCGCCTTGTGTGCTGGCCGTGCTGGCCGTCCTGGACGGAGTAGCGACTCCCCCGGCCACTTCCAGTGTGCAGCGCCGCATTAATCACGCACATTCACGCCCGGTGGTGCTACCAGTGTGCTACCGGCTACCGGCGCGTCGCGGCGTGCCGAGCGCGGAGGTGGCCGCGCGTTTTTTGAAGGGTAGCTGCTGCCCCGCCGTGCGCGCGGCGCGAAGCGAGCGGCGAACATCACAGAAACCAGTAGCAGTCGCCAGGGCCCGCCACGGCCCGCCAGTCCCGCCAGGGCTACCAAGGTACCCGTGTGGATCCCTGCTACACTGCCAAGCAGGGGCAGGGGCCGTGAAAATGCGCCCCCCCCCCTTTCTCTCTCCTCGGCCCGCGGCGTTGTTGTGCAGAGCGAGCTTCCGAATCACATCCCTTTCGTGTCTCTGTCTCTCTCGCGCGGCGTTGCGCACAGGTGCGAGAGAGACAGAGCGACGAAACGACTGCCCCGCGCGCGCACATTGTGTCCGGCATTCCCTCCGTGCTTCATTCCGTGAGGCTCCCGGGTGCTGCGCAGTGCTACGCCACTGATTGGAACGTGCCTGCCGGTCGATTCAGGGAGGAGCGCCTCTGTCTCCCTCGCACTCGTGGGGCGTTCCGCAGGGGTGCGAGAGAGGCAGAGCGACGCGACGACTCTCGGAGTCGGTCGGCTGGCCGCGACGCCCGGCCGTGCCGCCGTGCCGCGCGGCGCGGCTACGCCCGTGGCTGGTCGCTGGTCCTAATGGGCCTGTATGGTCAGGTCCGGGCCGACGGGGCGACGGGCGACTGGCCGGGTAGGGCTATATCATGTTCGGACAGCCTTTGTCGACCGCCGAGCGGGCCGTGGCTGTGGCCGTGCCGGCACGGCGTGCACGGCCAGCCAGCAAGCCGGGCTCCGACCAAACCGCCACCAATTCACTCATTTTTCTCAATTTATGGCGCCGGTATTTATGTGATGCAGTCCTGTTCGCGGAGGGCTGCTGGCTGCGGCATTTCGCTCATGTGTCGCCCAAATAAAACGAAAGGGGATAAAAAAATAAAAAGAATAAAAAAGTGTCGGGGTAATAAAAGCGCAGCGCACGAGAAGGAGTCGAACCGCCGCCAGCGCACATCGAAATGTTGAGGGTTCGATCGCGACCGACCCTGGCTCCGCGTTTTATCTTTTCGGTCGTAAGAAAGCGCAAAAGGCACAAACCAGCAGCGCTGGCGCGGCGTCAAAAGATGCAAAAATAAATTTTTCAAAAGAAAACAGACTGCCGCCGTGCAGCGCGAAGGAGTTGTGGCGCCCTTTGACCCTCCGCACCGGCGACCTGTTGACGAATCCTCTCAATAGAAATAATTGGTGTAAAAGGCTTAAAAGTGTCGCGTCAGTCGTATATGCAGGGCTGGCGCCTACACCGAGGCGCCGCAAGGTCTGGCGCGTCTTTCGCCGGAGCCGCAATGATTATTTCCAAGAGAAAGGGAAGGGGGACGCTGCCGCTGCCAGTGCGCCCGAGGGGGGCAAGGGACGCAAGAGACCAGAATGATATAAATAATAAATAAGACGGCTTCGAAAATGACAGAAAATAAGTGTCATGCGGCACGGCGGCACGGAGATATGTCGCGGGGAGTAAAACCAGAAGCTCCCAGGGCACATTCCTGAATACCAAAGCCCTACCACGCGCCTGCTGCCCCCTCTCCCTCCCTCTCCCCTCTCCAAATCTCTCTCCGAGTCTCCTCTCTCGCCGCCGCTGGCGCGCTGGCCGGACTCGCGTCTCCGCGACGACAAATCCATTTTGTTTCTCGCGGACAGATTCTTTGTAAAGGCCGTTGCCGTCGGGGCGCCACCGCCGTCGCCATTTGTCCTCCCCGGTCCTCGTCCCGGCGCCGCCCCCTCAGAGTGAATTAGTGCGTGCTGCTGGTGGCGGCCATGGCGGCGCCCGCGGCACTGTTTGGCCGTCGACGCCGTGCCTCTGGCGTCCGCTCCCCGCCGCCCCGCCGCCCCGCGTCACATCAAGATAGTGGCGTCTAATTAGCTAAAGGGGCCGCTGTTGCCATTGAAAGCCAAGCAGCCTGCCGAGCAGGCGGCGCGTAGCGGCGGTAGCGGCGGCAGCGCAGTCAATTCATTTCCTTCCTGGAGAAAAGGAGGAGCGCGTCGTTAGGTCCTCGGCTCCGAACCTCGCTCCCGTCGCCTCGTCTCTCTCGCACTCATGGGTCGTCCCGCGAGGGTGCGAGAGAGACGAGGCGACGAAAAGCACAGCTCGGAACCGCTCTCCAGGCAGGCCGGCGGGCCCTCGGCGGGGCGGTGGCGCGGCCCCCGAACGAACGGACTGACGGGGACCCCGGAGTGAGACGCGAGACGCGCCGCGCGCAGCCTGCGAGGCAGCCCGTCCGCCAGAATGATGTTTTCATTGATGCTTTCGTTAGTGTTGATGTTGTCGTGTCTCCCCACCAGCCCCACCCCGCCGAGGCGTTGATTGAAGGCGGGGCCGGGAAGGGAATGACCTGCATCGCGTTATTGAATCATCGTTCGGCAAGCCCGGTGAGCAGGGATCGACCCCAACGTGCTCTTGGCGCTGATTTCGTTCCCACTCAGGGAAGTAGCGGTGTGTAACTGGTGATGATGACGTTGTCCACCCGGAAGAACGGCGTAATTTTCAGACGCCCACACGCGAAACTCGCCCCGACAGTGGAGCCAACCAACGCAACGAGCCCCTGCGGCCGTTTATTCGGGCCGGGACTTTACTCTGCCTATTCATGACCAGGGGATTGGGTAGCACGGCAGTCGTGTGCATTGCGCCGCCGCGCCGCCGCCGCGCCACTCAGTGCTACCAACGTCAGGCAGCGGACATTCAAAGACACTTTGCCGCGTCACGGCCGTCATTGTGTTGGCACACCTGCCAACGCGGCCAACGCGCGCGGCGCGGCTCTTCTAATTATTTTTGAATCAGGCCGCGCGCTGAACGCCGCGCCGCCGCGCCGCCGTGCCGCCCGGGCCCATTCAGGCTGCGGGGGAGGGACTGTGGGCACTGAAGGGACGCAACGGGGTTGGGTCGCCCGCGCCCGCTCGGCCCGCTCGAGGCTGGAAGCCGGCTGGAAAGCTGGAACTGGAGCGGTGTACCAGCAGAGTCATCGAGGCCCGGCTACCTTGAGCTAGGCTACCTGTGGCCTGTGGTGCCTCGTCCGTTTATTGGGCCTAAATCATTTTCTTTAGAGTGTGATCCCTTGGGCGGTGAATTCTAATAGGTTCTTTTCATTATCACATTTGCTTTGAATTAGAGCATGGTTACCCGCTCCGGCGTGGCGTTGAGCGGCCTTGTTCAATTTTGAAACACCGTCGCTTGTCGTTCACACTGTAGGTATGCGCGCGCCGGCCGCGGGGTAGCGCTGCTCTGGCGATACTCCGCGCCCCGACCTCCTGGCGACGCGGGGTATAGGCGAGCCCGGCTGCCCGCGTGCGTTGGGCTGCCAGCCTAGAGGCGGCGGGTCGAATGGGTGGCCTATGGCTCGGGCGTTCGGCCTGACATGTGTCTGTCTGTCTGTCTGTCGAGCAAGCCGCGCGGGCAGAATGAATTCCAATCCGAAAGCATCACACGGGTACAGCATCGTCGAGAATTTGGCTGGTGGTTGTTTTCGTGGTTGTTTTCGTACAGTAGGTTCCTTTAAAGTGTTCTGGGGACGCAATCTTTCAAAAAAAAAATCAAAAGGAGTATCCATGTTTAAACATTTATTGAAAAGTAGTTGCAAAACACAGCGCGGGAAGTAACAAATACAACAAAAATAATTTACAGTACTCTATACAGGTCATTGTACAAAAACACTCTCTCATGCTACTGTGTTTGGATGGGAGTGCTAACTAATAATAACTTATCACTTATTTCTAATAAAGTCCACAAAAAAATGTCACTATCACAGGGATGGCATTTCAAACAGTTTCATCACGAATGTCTTCGCTTAAATACTCGTTCTAACACAATGCCATGGTCGCTCTTTACCCTTCTTTAACTTGAGCTTCTTACTACTACACGCATACTTGTCGTTATTGACAAGTCGATAAATATTGTGTACAAAAATAAATAGGCCACTTACACAATGCAACAATCAATAAGATTTTTGATTTGGGAAAATTACTCGCTTTCTCCTGCGCAAAATATAATACAGACTGTTTCATTAAAAAAATTGATCAAACGTATTTGAGCCAACCTGCAGAGGCCCCGTACATTTACAAGTCTTAATTCAATACGTAACAACGAGTATTAAGTCTATTTTTGGTCACCAACCACATACACGCTATACACACATTCACTCACACAATGTAGTCACACAAATTTTAAGGGAGTGTCAGTATAGACTAGAAACCACAAAAAGGTCTTGCGTCGACATAAGATTGGCGCGGTGCACCAAAATTCGAGAGCAAGTTGAGAGAACACACGACTTAAATAAACTTGGACAGTGGTCGGACAGGGAAGGCGCGCGGAGCTGGCGCTCCGGTGCGACGACATCACAGGAACATGAAGAAGGCGGTGCGGCTGGACCGAGGCTGGATGGGGCGTTACGGAATTTGTGCACGGCCCATCTCCAGGCGCGGCGCGCAGCTCCGCGCAGCTCCGGGTCACAACTTCTCGCCGCTCAGCGACACCATGTTGTAGTAGGAGTGGTCGGGGAACCTCTCCAGCTCGATGTAGTCCGTCTCGGTGAGCAGCAGCTGCTCGGTGAGCGTGACCAGCTCGTTGAAGTAGGGGCGCTCGTTGGCGTTGCCGTCCCAGCAGTAGTACATGATGTTGTACAGCTCGCGGCGGCAGTGCTCCGGCTTGTCCAGGCGGTAGCCGTCGCGCACCTTCCGCATCACGTCGGCCGCGCCCATGCCCGGGTACGGCGTGCTGCCCAGCGTCACCACCTGGCGGCAAAAAGGACGCCGATCAGTACTCGAACCCGGGCCACGCCAGCGCCAGCGCCAAAACCATCCCAGGCGGCACTCACCTCCCACATGAGCACCCCGTAGCTCCAGACGTCGCTCTTGACGGAGAACACGTTGTCGTACAGCGACTCTGGAGCCATCCACCGGATGGGCAGGCGGCCCTCGGACTTGCGCTCGTACACGTTGTTGTCCATGAGGTCGCGCGCGAAGCCGAAGTCCGCCACCTTGCAGGTGCGGTCCTCCGCCACCAGCACGTTCCTGGCCGCCAAGTCGCGATGGATGATCTGCAAGCGGGGCAAAGTTTGTTACGACTTGGGAAACAATCGAAACGAATAAAGCCAGAGCAAAAAGAAATGACTGCGTCAATACCCCGTCCGCAAACGAGATGGGTATCGTCGCGGCCAAGGCCACTCACCCCCTTCGAGGACAGGAACTCCATGCCCTTGGCCACCTGGTACAGGAAGGACGTGAGGTCCCTGGACGTGAGCGTCCTGGACGGGCCGTGCAGGTTGCCGTAGTCGCGCTCCGCCCGGGAGGAGCGCAGGAAGCTCTGCAGCTTGCCACGCGCCACGAACTCCATGATGACGAACAGGGGGTCTGCAACGGCACGAGGAAAGCGTTGACGACCACCAGTTCACCTCATTTAGCGCGTCTCCCTCGTGGTGCAGGCACTCACCCGACTCGGTGCAGCAGCCCAGCAGGCGCACCACGTTGGGGTGGGGCTCCAGGGTCTTCATGACGGCCAGCTCCTGCAGCAGGTCGGTTCGCTCCTTCTCGGCCGCGTTCTCCTTGAGCGTCTTGACCGCCACCGTGGACTTGCCCTCCTTGCCGTCGATGTCCGTGGCCTCGCAGCGCCACACCTGGCCGAAGCAGCCCTCGCCCAGGATGTCGAAGACCTGCAGGCGGTGCCGGGGGAACTCCCAGCGGTCCCTGGGCTTGATGGGTGCCGGGGGGCCTGCACCGCCAAGCGCCGCGCCCTGGACACGAACAACGACATGAGCGGCGTGGTCGGCGTGGTCGGCGATACCCCGCGTGGAGGCGCTGGCCCGGGGACTCACCATGTGGGCGCCTTCGCGGTCCCAGCCCTCGTAGCGGTTGCTGGGGGCGCGCGGCCCGCGCCACTGCTGCATGGCCATGGGCTCCTCGCCGGACAGCCCACTGGACAGCCCGCTGGACAGGGCGCTGGACATGCCGCTGGAGAGCCCGCTCGCCTCCTTGTGCAGGTCCTCCTTGGTGGCCTTGCTGAGCCGCTTGGGGCACACGCGGCGCCGCAGCAGCACCAGGACGCCGGCCAGCACCAGCCCGATGCACAGCACGGCCAGCAGCGACGTCACCAGCAGCCCCTCGGGCAGGGACGGCGTGGCCACCGCGTCGCCGCTGCCGGCGGCTGGCGTCGTGGGCGTGGCGTCCGCGTCGCGGGGCGAGCCCGTGGAGGACGGCGTCTGCAACGAAGGCAAGGCGGTGATGAGCATGGACGCCACGCTGTCAAGACCCGGAGGCTTGGAGGCTGCCTTACCTTGTCGGCGGGGCTGGTGGCCGTGCCGGGGAACGGCGGGCGCGTGCCGGTGGGCAGGCCGTGCAGGCTGGGCGGCGGCCCGGGGTTGACGACGGGGATGCCGGGGTGGATGGGCGCGGACGGCACGCCGGGCGGCACGAAGTTGGTGGGGAAGGGCAGGTACGACGGCGGCCGCAGCTGCGGCGGGAAGCCCGGCGGCCGTGGAGGGCGCCGCGACGCGCCGCCGCCGACACCCGCACCCGAGACGGGGCCCTTGGTCACTTTGACGACCACCTCGTTCTTGGCCGTCACCTTGCCGTCAGACACCGTCACGTACAGCCGCATCAGCTCGCCGCCCTGGAAGCGAAAAAGCGGACATCATTGCGGGGAGTCGAAGGGCCGTGGCGGCGAGGCGGCCTTGTGTGTCATACACTTGATTACGACCACCGTTACCGCTCTGGAGCGCGTTGCTGCGCGGACCGGCCGGCCGGCCTCGGCGGGAACGGGAGCCTCTTCTAATGATAGGTTGGCACCACGGCACACACGGGCCGGGCCAGGCCGCGCATTCTCCACGCACGGATCGCACGGCCCTAGGACTGCCGCTTTCGGAGGCGGCACTGCACTGCGCCCCGTTGGTCCTGGTTCGTCCGACGGCGCCGCTTTTCGAACGCGTCCCGGGGCGTGGGGCGTGGCGGGGCGTGGCGGGGCAGTGGAGCTTGGGAAAGGGGGAGGAGCAGCGCGGGGACGCGCCATATACCATACGGCAGGCAACGCGTTGCGCGCAAGGCGGGAGGCATGACTCGGGACCGCTTTCGGCTGAATTATGGCCTCCACACGGGAATCAGGCCAGAAAAACGTTTGGCGCGCGCCGTCAGGCCCGTCAGGCCGTCGCCGGCGGCGCGGTTCGAACCCAGCCCCTACTCACCCGGTCCTTGAGGGAGGCGTTGGTGTGCACCACGCCGGAGGTCTCGTCGATGGTGAAGGGCAGTGGGGGCGGCGGCTCGCCCTGCGGGTGCGGGTACAGCAGCAGCGGCTCCAGCCCGAAGGACAGCGGGTCGCCCTCCGCGTCCTCGGCGCGCACCCGCGTCACCACCGAGCCCACGGGCTCGCCGTCGGAGATGAGCCAGTCCCGGTCGATGTGCATCACGGGTGGGGTGTTGTCGCTGAGCTGCGCCGCGCCTGCAGGAACAGAAACATAGCACTTTGGTAAGACGGGCCGCGCACGGATCCGGATACACACACGCACACGCTCGCACGTCCTGCTAGGCGCGTGGCGCTGACGCAATGGGTGGGCCGCCATTCTTAGCACCGCGTTGTTGAATGGAGCCGCCGCCGCGAAAGGGCGTGGCCGCGGGGCGTGGTCGCGGTGCGCGGTAGCGGCGGTAGCGGCGGCCCTCGACCACGGCCTCCCGGGCGGCCTGCCCTCCAGGCGCGGCCGTGCTGTCACACGCCGTGAGGCGGTGCAGTGAAATCGCGATGTAAAGGCGCTGCAGCAGGCCGAGCAGGCCCTGCACCTTTCTACTCTCCCGCCGCGGACCGCCACGTTGTCTCGGCGACAGCGTCATCGGCGACAAGTCGTGGGAAGGCCCGCGGCGACGGCGGCGTCACGGCTTGTGTTTTCAAACTCATTAAAAGTGGCGCGCTCGCCATGAGAACGGCGCGACGCGGCCACGGCATGCGCTGCGCGCTGCGTGGTGCGCGGTCGGCCGGAGCGCCTGCCAGGCCGGCGGTAGGCAACCCGACCGCAGCGGCGCGCCGTGCCGCGGGAGGCTGCCTGACGTCACGGCGCCCCCGTGGCCGGTGGGGTGCAGGGACCGCTGTGGGAAGCAGCAAGCCAGCCGGCGCTTTGAAGCTACATTCCGCTCCGCGCCAAAGTGCGATGCGCTTACGACCTGCCGGCCCGCCGCTCCGCGCCTCGGTACGCCGCTATAAACCACAATGTATTCGGATACACGGCGTATCTGCGCCACATCTGGGCGGGCGAGTGTGGAAGGGGGGTGGCATGTGTGGGAGGCGAGTGGCCGTGGCGGTAGGTCATAGGCAGCCCCGGCACCTGTCTCGCTCTCGCCCCCGGCCGCCTCTGGCCCCCTTAGGCCGCGGGCTCCTGGAAGTAGAGCGAGAGAGAGAGCTTCGCGCGGCGGAGTGCAGCGTGCAGGCCTAGAGTGTTGCGGTTGGCGAACGTCTGCACGATCCACTCCACGCAGCCGCCGCGGTTCGGGCCGCCGCTCCCCACCGCCCCGCGCCCGTCCCCGGCTGCCCGGCCCAGCGGTGAGGCGGAGGACGCGTCGGACGGGTCTGGCCTGTCCCACACTTGATGACTTCCAGGAAAAATGGCCGCAACCGGCACAGTACGGGCCAAAGCGACAACCATTTAATAGCGAATTTGGACTGAAAGAAACCTCTGGGAAGACTGCAGCGTCGAGAGAGTGCGATTTACTGACATAAATTGGACGCAAAACCGCATTAAGACTCCGAACCAAGATATCTACACACACATTTATCGCTGTTTCGACGAAATTTTTCGTGAACACTGCTCTTCCCAAACTAATAAACACAGTCACTACTAGTCTTTAGACAAATGGTATCGTATCTATAGTATTTTTGTGTTAATATCATGACATTTATATCCTCTTAGCTATCGTCGATGTTCCCGAAAACACGCGAATCATGGCGCAGTCCTCGCAATCTCGCGACCCAGTGCCGACCCAGCGCAGCGCAGAGACAGCCGCGAGCCTCAACGGCCCTCATTGATATTAGAAGCCGTTTCGTGGAAACGCGCATCACTTCGCCCTTCCCATTCCAAACGACTTCCCGCCCACGCCCGTCCCCGGATGCAGGTCGATTCCGATCGCTCCGTTCCTCTCGGCCTCCACAAGAGGGACAGAGCGACGAAAGCACCGCAGTTCGGACTGGTCTGCTGCGGCGCGCGCCCCCGGCCTGGGGGCCGAGCCTAGGGGGCCGAGGGTGGCGGTCGTGCCGGATGTCTGCAGCGTGCCGGCCGCGCCGCTCACTATGGCATCCCGTTGTCCGCCGGGCTGCGCCGGGCTGGCTCATGGCGCGGCCCAGGCCTCCGGCCGGACAGCCCAGCCGGACAGCCCCGGACGCGTCAAAGTTGTTTTTCGCTTCATCGGAGTCTGATCGCGCGGCGCGGGCGGGACGCGGCCCGGCGGATGTGTCTGATTGGCGGTTTTGGCCGGGGGCAGCCGGGGCCCGTCCCCGAGCACGGCAGCACGGCCCAGCCCGTCGACTGCAGCGATAAGGCCTTGCGATGAGCGTGTTCCGCGGAAAGGGGGCGGCCGGGCCGCGGCCTGGCCGCAGCGGCGTAGCCCGGGGGTGCCTCGTTCCAGTGCTCCTTCTTCTTCTTCTTCTTCCAGACCGGTGCGCGGCCCGTGGAAGTTCCCCGGCCGAGTACACGACCGCGGCAGCGCGTCAGCGCGGCACCGCGCCGCTGAATCGAACGTCGAATCAAGCGCGGAGCACCGCGTCGGCCCGTCATCGCGCCGGGTGGGGGAAGCAGCGCGCGCCGGCAGTTTGGCACAGTGTAATTTGCTCGAGTTGAGGGCTGAGGCTGAGAGCACACCGTCGTGCCGGTGGCACGCCGGCGAGAGTGCAGCCTTGAACTTTGAGGCTGTAGCGCCTGCAGCTTCGGCCTGGGCAGTCCCGTCGCGCTCGCGTCCGCGGCGGGTTGCCTACCCGAGCGCCTGCCGGTCGCAAGCCGCAGGGCAGCGAGACTTTTCCGAACACTTCCAGCGCTCAAGGCGGCGGCGGAACCCTGAACCTTGAACTTTGGCGATGAGTCTGCGGCACACGTCTCCCTTCCTCTCCTTACTCCTTCCTCGATCGAAGAGCGAAGAACCAAGGCAGGCATCGCGGCGCTCGGCCGATCCGAGCCGAGCGGGCGGCAAGGCGGCAAGGCGGGGCGGCAAGGCGTGCGGAGGCGGGCCGAGCCGAGCGGCGGGCCACCGACCACACGTCACACACAGCCTGGCCGGCCTGCCCCTTGCGTCTTGCGCCTTGGCCTTGCGTCACTGCGACGGCCCGACGGCCCCACGGCCCGACGGGGACCTCCAAGGCTTTTGTGCGGGAGGGACGCTGGGGAGCGATCTTGCGCGGAGATGAGCGGCAGGCCCACCGCTCGGACCAGGAAGTCCAGCAGTCTCTGCTGCAAGCAGCAACAACTTCTTCTGCCGCAAAAAAATGGAACAAAGACAAGCACGGCGGCCGTGCGTGGGTTTGAACCCGGCGCCGTGCAGCGCCGCGCGACACGCTCGCCAACAGAACGGACAACACGTATGACGCCTTCGGACAGAGACTAAATGAGTACCTCTCAGGAGCGCCGTGCGTACCCAGTCAGAAATTCGACTCGGCGACCTTCCCGCCGACGACCGCGTCGACCGCGACGACGCGCAACCCGAGCCGGACACCGATCCGGCGGTGCGGCTCGTGGCGCCGCGACGCGCACGGCGGCACCGCTCCGGCACAAAAACAAAGAGCGTTGCGTTTCACGGCTCTCGCGGCGGAGGATCGAGTAGCGACTTTGCGCCCACAGACTTGCGCCACTTTTTGCTGCTATTTTGCGCCAGGTTCACTGGCCGCTCCGTGCCGAAGGCCCCAGAGCGAATGCCCAATCACATGATAATGAAAAGTGTGTCTGTGTGAGAGTGTGCGTGTGCCTGTGTGTGTGGCGCGAGTAGCACGACGCGGTTCACCTTGGCGCGGCGGGCGGCGAGCGGCTTTGCGCGCGATCTATCACCCTCTCTCTCCCTCCCCCTCTTTGTCTGCAGGGTTCTGTTCTGTTCCTGGACCTGGACCAAGTCGATTAGGCGGGCTGCGTTCATAAAGGTTTTAAAACCATTTTCATGTTGACAAGGCACGGCGGTGACGGCGTGTGCAGTGTGCGCGACGTCCGAGTTCACGGCGTCGGACTCCATCGAGGAAGGATGCTTTGGCGGATTCTTTGTTTCGGATAGCCGAGCTCCGAATACCGAAATCTGGCGCGCCTCGCCTCGCGATATGACGCCCATCAAGCAAGAATGCGGTCTGCGAGTCTGCGAGCACAACGCGGAGCGCGGAGCAAGCGAAGCCGGCAGGCAGGGCAGCCAGCCACTCACGGCGTAGCGCAGCCAGCCAGCCAGCCACCAGCCAGCCACCCATTAGTAAGTCATTCTATGCTAATATGGATCACACACACGCACACGCACACACACGCACACAGGCGCCCACCCTTCCCCGTCACATTGTGCGTGCGGCCCTCCTAGCATGCCCGCCAACGCGCTGCTAGTACTCGCGAACGGTACTCAAAATGGAGAAAGACAAAAAAAGGTAGGAACAAGGAACAACACCAGTGTTTTGCGCAGCAATGGGGCGTTCTCGCTACGCCACCCATTCAAGTCTCCACGGAGTGTCTGTCTGTCTGTCTGTCTGTCTGTCGGTCTGTCGTCTGCACACCCACGCCCGGGCCCCGGGCCGGTCATCGTCCTCGCGGTACACCCCGCCGCGTTGTTGTGACGGTAAGGCCCGACATGTATACAGCACACGCTCTCAAATTAACATTTTCTTATATTTTGCGCAGAGGTTCAAGTTTTGGGAGGGTAGAAGAAGGGAAAGGTGCGGGGCAATGTTGCATCCACCTGCTGCAGCCGCCGGCCTGTTGGCCGCCCAATACAGCACGTTCCGTTCAGCCCCCCCCCTCCTGCCGCCTGCCGTCGAGTCCTGTTAGGACATTCACACACACATACCAAGTCCGCGCGACCACCGACATGGACAGTCCCGCGCCTTGCAGCCAGGGAGTTTCATTTTTTTTTCCCGCAGTTTTTTTTTTCAAACCCACTTTGCAGTTTTACAGCGCCGCGACGACTTTCAAGCCGCAGTGCTACACCGCATTCGCAGCCGTTGAACATGAAGTGTACAAGGCGAAACTTGATCATTTTGCTTCCTAGTCGGGCGAATCCGCGACAGTGTTGCCGGCCCGGCCCACCGTATGTGGCGGCGACTGCGAGACTGCGACGTGTGGCCAGCTCATAAAAAAGACGCGAGCCAGTGAGCCAGTGAGGCAGCGAGTTTCAAATGCGTCTTCGCTCTTCGCCTGCCTCACTGCCTCGCCTGACGGGCTGACGGGTAGACAGTCCAGGGACGAGTCCGGCGAGTCGACCAGTACCCGGCAAGCAGCAAGCAGGCAGCAAGCAGGCAGCAAGCAGCCACTGCGGCGGCGGCTGGGTAGGGCCGGCTGGCCGGCTGGGCTGTCTCAAGTAGACACGGGCCTGGACAACCACGTCCCGGCCGTTCCAGCCACGCCGTCCTGGCTGGTCCAAAGCCGATTGAGGAGGCGGTCAAGTCGTTCCAGCGGCTCCAGCGGCTCCAGCGGGTCACACTGGACCATTCCGGGCTGATCCACATTGTCTCAGACGGCCAGGAAAGTGGCTCCAGGCCGATCCAGGCCAGGCCACTGTGAAAACCAAGGGCGGGGGGCTTTGCTGGGTTTGGGTCAAGGAGCTGGAGTCGGCTGCCCTGGCATTCCAGAGCTCGAAATAAGCTCAGTGCGGCTCTGGATGCGACAGCACGCCGCTCTAGGCCAGACAGCCAATCCTGTCCGTCCGTCTGTCTGTCTGTCTGCCTGTCCGCCCTCCAGTCACAGAGCGCCGACAGCAATGAGAGGGGACAGATGGAGGCGGTTCAAACGCACCGCGCAGCCATGACTGTGAAAGAAACCGTGAGTGAGTGGGTCGTGCCTGGCCGTGCCTTTAACGGCATCAAGCCGCATCAAGCCGGCGAGGAAGCGCCGCAGCGTCGCCCTTTCTCCCGCTGCACTTGATTCCGGATAATGTACCCTCTCATTTTTATTTCTTTACGTCCCCGAAACACTAAAAGAAGGCCGTCGCTCCATCGCCGGAAGCGTGCGTCCGGTGGCGGCCCCGCCGGGCAGCGGGGCGCCGCGCTGTCCAGGCCCGGCGACCGCCGAATCGGAACCATGCTGCACTAGCCGGTCGGCTGACCGCGGCTGGCCCGGCGGCCGGCAGCGCATCGGATGGGGAAAAAGGGGGGGGGGGGGGCAGGGGCGCAAGGCCCTCCTCGCCTCGGTCGGAGAAAGTCCGGCTGAGTGCTGGCCGCCCGACCGCGGGGGGTGGGGAGGGTGCCTGTCCGACACGCTATTCGCACCACAAAACGCGTGGCCTGCGAATAGTGCAGCAGGTTGGCGCGGCGGTGACGTTGGACAACATCACGCAGCAAAACCACACAGAACGCTGTGGCCCGGCGGGGATTCGAACCCAGTCCCAGGCTGGCAGGGCAGAGCTGCCGGAGAGCCAGAGAGCCACGCCCGGAAATCCGTGAGACCGAGACTGTCGTTGCGTCGCCGTGATCCGGGTTATTACTCGTTTGAGTGGGAGTGGGAGCGCTCCGGCCGCAGCCCCCATCTCCCCCCCCCCTCCCACTCCCTCTTGGGCCTGCCCTGGCTTCGCTCTTCGCTCGCTTAGCGAGTCGCTATGACGTACGCGATGCGACCCCAACAACAGGCAACTCGCCGACGGGCCGGGCCGGGCCGGCAGGGCGGACGGGACGGCCACACACGTTATGTAACGCGCGCTCTGCCCGGCTGTGCCTCTCATTCGGGGACGTGTCCATTCGGCCAACAGTCGCAGGCCCGGTCGCCCCTCCGAGAGTTAGCACCTGGTTAGCACCTCTGGAACCGCAGGCCGTGTGCACGGCCGTGGGGCGCGCACCCCGGCCTCCGCGCACCCCAGGGCACACACGGCGGGGGAAACCAGCTCTTGCGGAAGGCTTGCTGCGGACAAGTGACATCATTCATCTATGCGCCGCGGGATCACTGGCGCCGGCCAAACAGGCACGGACAGCCTGGCACGCACGCACGCACGCGCGCACGCGCGAACGTGCACGAGTGGGGAAAGTAGCCACACCCACGGCGGGGAAGTCTGTTTGTGCAGTCAGTCGGGGCCTTCTCGGAGCAGCAGAGGGGAGAACGTGCGGCACATGCACCGCACACACACACAATCACACATACGCGCACACAGTGGCGTGGTGGTGGGATTGGCGACAATGGAGGCTTCTTCTCCGGGCCGTGGGTGGCGCTTGTCTTGACCTAGAATCGGCCGCTCTTGGAGTGCACCTCGTCGAGTCGCGCGTCGCCAGGTGTGCCAACGTCGCCAGCAGCGTGCGCTGTTTGCGTTCGTCGAGGGGCGTGCTTGCCACTGCTTGCCTATGCTTCACGTTCACGTTGGCAACACTTGCCTGCGGTAAGAAAGAAAGTGCGCTGCCGCACTGGCGGGATGGTGCAGTGAAGGGAGCTGCATCCGGTCCCCGCCTCCCCCGCCTGCCCCGGCCGGTCAAGGAAGGCGTCGCCGTGCACGCCGCGATCCCGCCGCCCAAATGACCCGCTCGCGGACCCGCGCTCGGGGAACGGCGGGCAGGCCGCCGGTCGGGCCGCGATCCCTCACGAGGAGAAAGGATACGACACTGCAGAGCGATGCAGCAGTGCCTTTCGGCATCTCTCTCGCTCGCACTCACGGGCCTTCCCCGTATCTGCGAGAGAGAGACATAGCAGCGACGAGACGGTCCGTGGGGAATCAGTCTACGGCGGGAAACGACTTCGGGTCCTTTTCGTATCACGTGGCAGCGGCAACGAGCAGTGCCGGGCATCGCGCCTGCAGCAGCAGCAACAACAACGACACGGGAAACAGCAAAAACAACCCGCTCGTTCATTCCAGGAAGCGCGCTGGAAAAAGCCAAGAGGGGGCTGTGCACAGTGAAGCAGTGAAGCTCGCGTGCACACATGTGGGCAAACATGAAGGCGCGACAAGCTGTGCAGCCAGCCCGCGGCCCAGCCCGCCCAGTCTGAGTTGTGCCCCTCAAACCCAGGGACCCACACCTGCAGGTTGCAGTGTAGTATGCAGGAGTCTCAAGTTGGCTGCAGCGCGTAAGCGGCAGCATGACCCCTGCACATGGACACGGGCCGCGCGCTGTGGCCGCAGTGTGTGTGTGTGTGTATAGTGCAGGCACCCTGCTCGCTGGCCAAGGCCCAGGGCCAAGGCCCAGGCACAGTCGGATAGGGCAAACAGGGCTAGCCAGCGAGCCAGCGTCCTCGAGGCAAGGCGGAGTCCGAGTGTTGGCGACGTTGGCGACATGACCAAACGCATTCCTTACCGAGAACCATTTCCAGACCCGCCCCGCCCCGCCACACCGCGCCCCGCCGGGACATGTCAAGTCAACCGGACGGACCGGGATGGGCCGGACGAGACAGGCAGGACCGGGTGGTTGCTAAGTCAACGGCGAGGGCACACACACACACATGCGTGAACGCACGCACACACACACACACCACACACACACACAGCCGTCGGACAGCGCACGTCCGCGTCAGTGTCTCTCGTCGCACAGCAGTTGCCCGAGTGCTTTATCCATCAGCCGGAAATCCAGAAGCCACGCGCCGCGGCCCTGGAGCGGGGCGGGGTGAGTCCACTGGAGTCCTGGAATCCTGCGGAAGGACGCGTCACTCGCGGGGCAGGCCGCGGGTGGCTCGGCTCGGCGCCTATCCGCCGATCCGCGGCGGCGGCCAGGTTGTGATAACCCGAGATCGGGCGTCGCATGGCACGATGGCACGTTCGGAAAGTGAAAGTCAGCGCCTTCTAAGCGGGAAGGGCGGGGAAGGGAGGCGTCGGCAGTCGGCAGGCGCGAGGAAGGCGTAGGGCCGCCCAAAGGAGGCAAAGGGCCGCCGTGCCGGGCCAATAGAAAGGGCTCTCGCAGGCGGCCCTGGCAGGACGGGCAGCCCTGGCCCGCAGGATATTTGGACGAGAGAAAGGTGGCCGGGCATCAGACAGGACGCGCACTGACGGGCACACACAGAGGAAGGCACCCACCCAAAAAAATACCTCCCGGCTTTCCAGAGTACGGAAATGAAGAACGCCTAACACCTTTTGTGGGGTGGTGAAGAAAAACCTTTCTTCGGCGGAGCAGCAGTCTGTGCCCTTTCCGGCACCCGCCCTCGTATTTGGAGTAGTGGGAGCACGTGACCGCACACTACAGTGCACTGCCGTGGGCCACGCCGCCACGCCGCGGCCAGGGCATGACATAGGCGTCGCGTAACGCCGTGACTCGTTCATCAGATCTCGCGCCGAGCGGTCCCAGTGGGTCGGTGCTTTCGACGCTTTGTCTCGCTCGCGCACATGCGGGGCGCCCCCTGAGTGCGAGGGAGACAGCGACAAAAGCGCGGTTCGGAATGGGCGGCGGCGGTCCTAGGCTGAAGAAGCGTGCGCGTGACGCAACGCGGCCTGGATCGCGACAAAGGCGGCATAGTGAAGTGTAGTGACAGCAGGGTCAGGACGGCGAGCCGGTGTAAACAAATGGGAAAAAACGAACGGCCCGGCCGGGGCTCGAACCCGCGGCCAGAGATTGCACGACCGGCTCGCGGGCGATAGCGAACGGCGTTGGCGTGTGCGGAGATGGGGCCGCGGTGCAGAGCCGAATCGTGACCGATGAGTGTTTCTTAGAACGACGTGGAATGCCGTGGAAGAGGCGGCGGAAACTCCGTCGGGTTCACACATGAGTTCACACGCCTCGCTTCAGCGGCCAGCCCCTCCACCCCCTCTTCAATGAAAGAGCCCATAGATCCAGAAGAGCCGGTTCGTTGCGCTGTCTCTCTCACACCCCTTCGGCACGCCCCATGGGTGCGGAGGAGACTGAGCTGCGAAATCGGTCTGAGCGCAAACTTGGCTAGGTTGGCCTGCCCTGCGATTTACCCACGTCGCGATGGTAGATGCCTCGGCTCGTTCTGGGGGCGTGGTACCACCACACTGTTGCCCCTCCAGAATCCAGGATCCAGCGAGCCGGGCGCAGGCGTCCTCTCTCCCACGCTTTGGGCGGACAGGCGGAGCGCAGGCCAGCACCGTGACGGGCACGACGGGCACGGGCATGCTGGTGGTGGGCACTGCGCACGCGAGGGGTCAAAGAGTCCCTCTCCCCGAGTGCGCCCTGGTCGGGGCCCTGGCCGTCCTCGTCCTCCCCGACGGGGTGCTTCTCGGTTCACTCACCTGTGGGCAGGCGCTGGGCGAGCACGAGCGTGGTGGCAAATATCCAAAGGAGCTTCATCCTGGTGCGCGTGCTTCGCGAGCTTCGCGTGCTGCGTGTGCCGCGCGTGGTCGAGCCCCCCTGTCGTTGCGCCATCATCGCTCACTCACTCGCACTCGCGCGGGTTGCGCGGGTAGGGCTCGCCTCGCTCCAGCGTTCAAGTTCCCATCGCACTTGTCGACCATCACATGGCGCCCGCAGCGGCTGGGCTCACTCGAGGCGCTCAGGTTGACGACATGGTGCCAACGGCGGGGCTGAGTCAACACCTCGCAGCGCGCTGCCTCCCCGGACAGCGGAGCCACCACACGCGAAAACGAAACGACAACGACACTGCGGGCTGGCACTGCTGGCAGGCCCTTCACTGCACTGGTCGAGAAGTCCTTCCTTCGCGAAGCCAAGCCGCCGTCTTGGCGCCGCACAAGGAGCGCCTTGCCTTGCTCGGCTCCTCGCAACGCTGCGCTACGCTCCGCCACGCCGCGTTCGCCGCGGGCTGCACACACGGTCCGCAGCAGGCGGTGACTTTCACAAAACTAACTGGTTCACTACTCCGTCGACTCCGTCCGCCCTGCCGTCCCCGCCATGCACAGCCATGAGCCTCAGCAGTCAGCCCCTCCCCGGAGCCGAGCGTCTTGCCCCTGCCCCCTTCCCTTTCCCCTTCCCCGCGGCCGCCCCGCTCCAGCCCGGAAGGAGCGGCCGGCGCGGCGCAGCTCACCACGGCACGGCGCCTTCGCTGCTTCGCTCTTCCTCTTTCTTCTTCGCGGTCCGTCCGCCGTTTCCGTCTCGTTCCCGCCCGCAGGCCGCCCCGCCGCGGCTCGCCTCGTTTCTGCAGTTTCGGACGCAGCTCGGTTGGGGCGAGGGGTAGCGCCAGCGCGCGTGCCGTGGGCGCGGGGTAGCGACGCGCCAGTCCATTCATTGGCAGGGGCAGGCAGGAACAGAGGCTGAGGCCATAGAGCTGCCGCCTGCCTCTGCTCGCCACGGCATTGCGTGAGGGGTTTCTGTGCTCCGTGTGTGAATGTGCCCAGCGCGACAAAATTATCGTGAAAGCAAGAGCGTGCTAATGGATTTTCTGAATTCACATTAATCCAGTATTGAGAATCATATGCAGGTAGTTTAGTTGTGTACGTTTGAAAGACCACGCTCGAGGCGGGCGCTGAGACATGAGACCTCTCGGAATCTTGTGCTCTACGAGCGTCTGCGGGTGTGCCTAGGAAAATAATGGTTCTTTCAAGAGACAAGAAATTAGATGTTAGCACCAAATTTAATTTATCTTTTTTGACAGTCTTTATCAGTTTTCAACACATGAAAATTACCTCCTTTCACACCTATGACATATACAATACAATCACTCAATTTTTTTTTTCAGTACCAAGAAATATTACTACACGTGTCTCTTATTGAGACAAGAGGTGGTCATTAGTTGCAGGACAGCAAACAAATGAATAATTATACTCCGGGACGCCAAAAGCAAAGGAAAAAAAAAGAGTTGTTCATTGTCAAAATATCCAAATAAGACAATTGCTATCTTATTTTTTAAAAACACATAAATAAGTGAATAGACAAGCCTACCCACATTCACAGTCTGCCAATGAAAGATAATTGTGCAAATCAGAGCTGATGAATGTGGTGCACATCAAGAAAGACACTTCTTACGGTACATACATAAAATATCCATCAATAGAAGTATTTTATTTTTTACTTTTTTTCGTTTTTTGGAGGAGGATTCAATGAAAGTGCTATAATGTTCAAGGTCAGGTAGGAGAACACAATTCATTAAAATGCTTAACTAGGATTCATTCATTTTAATTTGCACACACTCCTCAGTCACAGAGCAAGTCTACAAAATAAGTATAAAATTACACTACAATACTGACAATATTTATAGGTTGTAATTTATTACAGACATTTACACTATTTACAGTTCCTAGATACGTGAAATAAAATTCTAACACTTCAGTCCATGAGTCTCAACATGGTACACTTAAAATGATAGGTACAGTTGTTTGAAACAGTTGAAACACAAAAAGGAAACAAATATTAAATAACATGTGACACCCATCTTAACAGAAAACAGCTACACAAGGCAGCATTTACAAATTATCACCGAACAACTCTGTAATGCAGAACAGATCAACAACAAATCTCACTACAGTATGCAAATACAATAGTAAGATTCTGAAATTAGAAACAAAGCATCCTGTACTTAGATACGAAAAACCGAGAGATCAAACTACCTAATCGACCTACACATGACAAAGAAAATATGAATATAGTCATGGATTTTTTTTGTTTTTATCCTTTTTCAGTCTGTGACTGATACACTAGAATTATGTTTAGACTATCATTATTAACAATAGGTGATATACATGAGATTATAATGTCTTCAAAGACACATTAAGGGCATAAGGAGGCAAAAGGGAATACACAAATTTGTAACCAGCAACCTGTCCAAAAGGCCCTGTAATTGTATTAGCATACACACAACCCGCACAAGAATCATATCTTGACAGGCTGCAAACTAGCTCAAACCAGTTTCGTACAATTGAGATGCATGTTGTGTGTATGTCAATACATTATATTAGGATGAAGTAACTTTTCGATTATCTTGCATATATCATCTATTCATGTAGTGTCAGTATCGAATACATCATTACTGAGAAAGCTAGTCCAAAATACACAAAACATGTATCCCACAGGAAACATCAATATTTTCTTTTTCTTACAAAACCCTCAGTGACAAAACAGAAAGAAAGACATTCTTGCACTGGGTAATAATAAGCCATGTTAGGAAGATAGATGCTCGGTTTTCACAAACTATGAACTCATTAATAATAGAAAGCCAAGTGCATTAACAATTGCACTAAAAAATAATTGTTACTGTAAAAAAAAAGGGAAAAAAATTGCTAAAACAACAAGAAAGAAAAAAAGAAAATAATGGGAGAATGTTATTGTAATAACATCTACATCCATTCACTTGTCAAACTATTATTAGCTTAGCTTTGTTTCTTTACAAATAGAAAACAATTTCCTTTTTTAAGAATAAAAACAGGAAGAATCTTAACTTTCAATTTTATGAACTTTGTTGTTTGGTAATTCGGTGTTACAAACACCCACCTGTCCCAGTAGTCACCGAACCAGATAAAATAAAGACACATAAATTAATGACTCCATATGAATGTGAATTAACACAATAAGGTGGCAACTTCTAACAATGTGAAGTCATATCTGTTCCAGCCTTGTGTGTTCAAACACTTTCACAATTGCATTGTATATGTATATAGATGTCAACATATATATAGATATCTAAGTTAATTTTTTTTGGTATATTTTCATTTTAATTGCAGTGCAGATTTTCACAGCATGGTATTCTATGATGAGATACTATCTCTTGACAGCAGATTCTTTTTCTCCTATGGTCCATTCTGGATCATTGGGATCTTCATCACCTTCACCTGGGGCTGAATCAGTATCAGTACTAGGGGTGCCTGGTAAAGACTCTCCCTGAAAGAGAAAAATTGCAAGTAATTATCAGATAAATCCAACAAAACAATTCAATTGCCAAATCATCAGATCACAACATAATACTTACAACCACATCAGTACCATCTTGCATGTCAACATCATCAGTCAGTTCACTCTGGTCTACGACACTGGATGGATTGCTGGCAACATACGGTTGAGCAGGGTACCAATCAGGCATGACTTTCAACATCTTCTCATAGGCTTCATCAGAGAGTGGGAATGTGCGAGGCTCATATGGTGCCACCTGGGAATAAAATAAACGAATTTGTGTCACAGTGAAGAAGCCAAGACAAAGCTTTAAACCTTTATTAAGCAGTTGGTGAAGACCTACTTCATCACAATCTGGAGTGGCTGAGCGACCATAATCTTCCCGAACAAATCTTGATTGAGACAAGGTCCTGCTGCGCCGTGCAAAGTGACTGCTAATGGAAGCGGGCATGGATGAAGAGGAGCATGGATCATGTTCAGCAGTTGAAGCTCCAGGTGTTGCAGGTGGAGACGTTATTGGTGATACACCATCACCCAGAGGGTCCACAGGTGTATTTGGTGACATGGGATCTAAAACAAAACAGAGAACAAAAGGTTTAAACCTCGAGTATGATGCATCAATGCATTAAGGCAGCAACAAACTAGCCTCTAGCTAAGCTTACCTGGTGTATTGGCACCACTACTGCCAGCTCTACTATCCGTTCTTCGATTAGCACGAGGTCTAGCATTGGCATTCTTCACATAAGCCATAAACCTTTTGCGCTCCTCCACTTCACAGCGTTCATGCCTCATGATTATTGTCTCATCACTCACGTCCTCAACCTATCAATCAAACAAACAAGGTAAAACAAATATCTTGAAGAGGCACCAATTTAGCTTGACATGATAAAACATATCGGAACATTACACTCACATCACTCTCATGACTAGATCTGCGGGGAGCCCCACCATTGTTTTTAGATTCTATTATTGGTTCAGGATCAACCACTCTCCACCTTAAAAAACAAGGATGACTTTTAGTTTGAGCCAGTATGAGAAACAGATATTAAGATTAAGTATAGTGAGTCCAAAATACATACTTTGGAGTCAAAATTTCCTTGTATTGCAACTTCTCTACCCGTGCAGATGAAGCAAGACTGTGAGGAATAACAATGTTGTCAATGTCATAAGAATTCTCTCGTTTCCTCCTGAAAGATAAAAAAAAACTGTTAGTTGATCTTGAAACGGTAGAGACTTTATTAAACTTGGATGATGAGTTGAATAAAATTAAAAATATTTCATAGCGGCTCACCTTAGTGACTCAGTCCGTTCAGCAAAGTGAGAGCGCTCGTCACCAGGTGATGGGGCTGGAGAGGGATGTCCACTGCCAGAAACCTCAACTCGAAGCTCCTCAAGAGCGGAATCATCGTAGTTGTGTGCTGAATGGGCTGTAGGAAAGAATCGTGTAAGTGCTTATTGAGTAAGGGTTCACAAAAAATAAAACACAAAAGAAAAAGAGACACTCACATGAATTTCTCCTGAACTTGTACTTTCTTTTGTGCCTTATTAAAGCCTCAGTATCATGGTTCTTCGGTTTTCTCCCTAACTTCTTTTTGATTTCTGAAAAAGAAAATAAAGCAGAGGTCATTATAGAATGAGTTATTACCCATTAAATTTCAGATACAAAGCAAAAATTTATTTGTAAAACTTACTCTGAATGTTGGCGAGAGTGTGGCCAGGTTTCTTGAGCCTCTGGTACTTCTTCCTATGGTCTACCACATGTTTCTTGTTTCGAAGATCATCAAACGCCTCTCGCTCCCTTTCCCTCTCTCGCCTTTCCAGTACTCTCTGAGAAGATTTATGTGCAGCCCGCTGCATTTTCTGTTGCCACTCAGGGGTTCTCATCAAAGCTTCCAGATGGATACTCTGAGGAACATCTGCTTGAAGTGGAAAGGAGGTACAAATTATTGCAAATTGCTCACTCACTAATCAAACAGGAAGAAGCATCATCTTCCATGGCCTTGACTTGGAAAGCAGTGTGATATTTTGTTTTAAAATGTTCACTATTGGTGATGAGTTCATAATTAGCGCTCCCAATATATATTGACACTCACCACTCGGAAAGGAGAGAACAGGATGATAGGCGGGATCAAGAAGTGCTATTCTTTCTTGAACCGTCAATTGTTCGGGTTGCTCTCTGGGATATGTGGGATCACTACGTCCAGTGCACAAGGCACAACAAGCCAAGGGTAACCGGCACCCACAGCGAATGTTGGATGGACGGGCTGCTTTCTTCGAAACCAGATGAAGCCCTGCAGTATTCAAGAGTCTCCTTTTGCGGAACTTTGTATTAATAAAAGGTCTAGTCCTGCATGTGCCAGTGGCTCCCATGCACTCTGGTGGTTCTTTAACCCCTTCCACAGGATTAGTGTGGAAGCCGTTAGGTGTTTGAGAAGTATCCTGGCTGGGCGCTTCACCCAACTTGACTTCTCCTTTGTTTAAGCGTATTTGTCGGTGAATCTCAGTATGCTGACGTATGCGGTATTCCAAATCTGAAATCTGAGCCTGAAGCCATGTCCATCGACTCGCCACCCCTGCTCGCTCCTGTGCCCATCTCCAGGCTGCTCTCTTCATTCTGCAACAAACAAACGAAACAAAATTCATTAGAATCGAGTGACAAGAGATTCAATCAGTACCATGCACAACGGCATACCATTATAAAATCAAAACCCCAATACAAGGATCAACCCTCTCACATCACCCGCCACCAAACGGTATTGCATCACCCCAACACAACGTCGGCGGTATGACGCAACAATGTCACTACAAGTGCAGTTACACGTTGCACCGGGCCAAAGAGCCAAAAGTGTCCCCACCATCGCACGCCATGGTCCCCGGCTGAGGCCGGGTTACTTCGTCTGATGAAACGTTGGGCCAACGTTGCCGGGATACAGAGCGCAGAGCGCAGCGCGCGCGTCCAGCCGGGTGCGAGCTTCCGCGACGTCTGCCCGCCCCGCGCCAGCCCAGGCCCGCCAGAGGACGAGGACGAGTAGGAGGAGGAGGACCACCACGAGGTCTGCCGCCAGGCCGCGGCGCGCCGCCCCGCCGGACCCGCCGGCAGGTTCAGACACGCCGCGAGGCGCGAGGGGCTCCCATCGCCGGGCCAAGCGCCCTGCCCTCGCCCCGTCCCGTCCCACCCCCCGCGGCCGGGGGGCAGGACTCCGGGGAAGGGGGAAGGGGATCGGAGGAGCCGGAGGCATTGCTGGGCATGGCGGGGCGAGTCACACACTTGATCACGGAGGCGGCGACGAGGCGGACCGGGAATAGAGAGAGAACGGCCAACGGGGCTCCCTCAACCCTTGCCGAGCCCGCGGCGCCCGCGGCCTCAGCGGGCCGGTTCCAAACAGTGATCTCGTCTCTGTCTCTCCCTTCTCTCGCGCGACAGAGCCCTGCTCAGAAGCATCCCGCAGTCCCAGGCAGGAAGACGGTCCGACCCGCCGGCCGCACCCCCTTCCCCGCCGCAGTCAAGGTCACACGCAGTGCCCGGCAGTGCCGCGCCGCCCCTCCGCTCAAATTCGCGACCGCCACCGCCGAACCGTCCGCGAAATCACCCGGGCGGCACTTGTGGCTCACGGCAGCCGTGCCTGATAGTGACAGGGAAGTAGCGAGGATCAACCTGCTGGGCGGGGCAGCCACCCAGGAGCAGATTCGTCGCTCTGTCTCTCTCGCACCCCTGCGCAACGCTCCCTGAGTGCGACGGGCAGCGCCGCAACGCCTCTTCAGACACAGCCTCGCGAACAGACTGCAAGCTGCAGTCAAGAGCGCGTTAGCCGCGTTAGCCGGGGTGAAAGGGGTAGGTACCAGCCGGGCAGGGCCACGCCACGCCACCGCGGAGCTGAGGTCCCGGTGCCCGGTTCAACGCCCGGTCGCGGCCCAGGCCTCCATCGATCCCTTTCTACTGCGCCGCCCCGCCCGCCCGCGCGCCCTCCCCGCGGGCAACCCCGCCCCGCCCCGCCCGGTCCGAGCGCCAAGCCAGAGAGGCCTAGGGGCTGTAGACTGTAGAACGTCGCAGGGCCCTAGAGCAGAGCAGCCTGGAACAGCGCACAAAATACACCACCCGAAAAGAATCCATTACCCCCGGTACTCGAACCCCAGACGAGAGCGTTGTTCGACAGTTTGATTACGAGATAAAGCCGGCCACGTGTCGGCGGGGCGGAGCGGGCCCTGGCAATCAGCGGACAGCTGCACGGGCTGCATGGCGAGGCGTGGCGCGGCGCCAGGCTGGGCTAGGCCAGGCCGGCACACCCCGCCAACGTGTTCCAATCAATCACGCTGGAGGCCCTGCACGACCTGCACGCCCCGGCGGCAGCAGCGGCGCAAAGCCCGCCAAACGTCCCGGGGGAAATGGGCCAGGCAGCCAGGCCGACGCGGGCCGGGCTGCGACACTTCGCAACCAACTCCTTACGAATTGCAGATCGCCCTGCGCTGCGCGTCGCCCTGCACGCCCCCGGCGGCCTAGCCGGCCCAGCCTGGCCGGCGCAGGCAGGCCGGCCCGCACGGCCACAGCAGCGCGCCCCGCACCCCGCCGGCCCGCACGGGACTTGAATACGTTATCGCTTCCCGGTCCGATAACCCAAGTGTAACGCGGCCCCCAGACCCCCGGCAAGCCGCGCCGCGTCGCCGCACTGCGCCGCGCACCCATTCAAACCGCGGCGCCATCCATCCGCCAGGGCTGCCACTCGACCGGCCCCATCCGTCGCGGCAGTCGCGGCGCACCCACCAGGGCCACCAACCGTATCGACCTTCCCGATCGCCACGGCCTGCACGGCCTGCAGGCCAGCACAGACACGAACGGCATTCGTGACTCACTCCGTACAGTGCAGCGCGCGGCGGAGGCGGCAGCAGGCGGTGCAGCAAGCCGCTTTAGTCAAGCTGTGCTAACGCTGCAAGTCTGGACGGGCTGTACACCCTGTTTGTTCCACCGCGGGCCCCGTGGCCCCCGCGGCCAGGCCTTCGCTCCTTCGGACCTCGAGGCCTTCGGGGCCGGCAAACACAGCAGCAACGCACTGCACTGCAAAGTCAGGGGTCCAGCTGCATCGGCCGGCTTGCCTACCAGCCAACCCCACCGCCATCCTCGGCGCGCAGGCAGCAGGCAGGACCCGACAGACACGAAGCAGCCGAGCAGTCATGATAAAGCGTGACTCACAGCGCCGTGCCACATGCTCAGCAACAACACGCCAAAAAACGACAAGGTGTGCGGCGCCGTCGCGCAGCAAGCAGGACAGGGCTGGCACGGAGTGACGGAGCCCCTGCCAGAGCGGGGGTAGGCAACCCGACCACAACCCTGCCACGGGGTGGCCCGCTACAAGGCGCTGGGACCCCTGCCGCATTAGGCAACCGGTCGGCAGGGCAACCCGAAGGAATGCCTACCGCCACGGCGTTTCCTGGTGGGAATCCAGCGTCGGGCGGGGCGCGGGCACGCCGTCAACCCCTCCACTTTCCGCACGCGGCCCCACGGGCCTAGCTTGCCTAGCCCCACGGGGTCCTCGACGCTGCGGCGCGCACGGGGGACGGCAGGACGGGCGTTCGCTCGGCGTTCGTTCGCAGTCCGCCACGCCCAGGCACGCACGCGGAGCACGCGGCGCGCACGCACGTGCGGGGCCGGCCGGCACGAACGGCAACGACCTCATCCCACACTACACGGCCCCGCGGCCCCGCACTGCGTCCGTCCGTCGGCCCGTCAGGTCGTCGGCGTGGTCCTCCTGGCCGGCAGACGCATTAGAAAGACCGCGCCAAAGCACAGCCCGGCCCGCGCGACGCGCACACCGCAAAAAAAAACTTTCACGCCAAATGCCCGCACAGGCGGGCGGTCGTTACCCCGCGCTACGTAACCTCATGGACAAGCTCGGCGCGTGGGGTAGCGACGGCCACCGATAGTTCACGACCGGGCTGTACGGCGCAGGCCGAGAGCCCCAGCAAACCGATTCCCAGAGTCGCTTTCGTCGCTCCATCTCTCTCGCCCTCGTGGGGCGTCCACGAGGGAGCGAGGGAGGCAGAGCGACGAAAATGGCCCCCGGATTCACAGTACCCGCGCATTTCTACCGCGCATTCAGGCGGCCCACGCTTTGGCGGGCAAACCCGCCGGCAAGCGGCCACGCCAACCCGAGGGGGAAGTTCTGTGGCGTCAACCGCCCGCACGCCATTCCCGCCAGCCTCCTCGGCGTCCCCGGCGCGTCCCTTATCAAGCACGCCCCCTAGGTTTCACAATTGGCTCTAGCGCCAAACGACTATCAGCCAATGGGCAGCCACGGCCCCGCCAACCCCACCTCCACGTCAACGTCGAGCCAGCCGGGGGGCCAACGCCACGCCCGAACCCTTGAACGACCTTTGACAACGCCGGGGGAGCGGCGCGGCTCGGCTCGGCACCGCCACGGATCGGGTTCGCGCCGCCGGCCCGGCCGCTCGACTCGTCCTGCCGCGCTGGGGCGGGGCTCGGGAGCGAGCCAAGCCGGGGCAGCCGCAGAGCCAACAGGCGCGCCGCGCCTCGCCGCTCCGCGCTCCGCTGAGCTCACCGGGGAGGCGAACCGGCAACGCCGCCACCGGCACGGCCACGTGGCAACGGCGCGACCCAGCCCCAGCCCGGCAAGCCCGGCCTGCGCCGCGCAGCGCGCCTTGCCGCCTTGCTGCCGGCCCGGGAGAGGAGCCGAGCCGAGCCGGCCCGGGATGGCGTGCAGCTTTACTCGCCGGCTTGACGAGCGGAGCAGCGCAGCCGCGCCGCACGAGGCAGCGGCCCTGCCGGGACGGACGAGCCGAGCCGGCCGCATGGGCCATGGCGCGAAGACACACACACACTCACACACACACGGCGTAGTGCACCACTATCACGACGCACCTGCCATCGCCACCTGTCGTGTCCATGAATGAATCGGACCCGAATTGGGCCAGCAGAAACAAGGCAAAATGAGCCGGGGGGCTCGGCGGCGACCCACGCCCTGGACACCGCCACGCAGCGTGGACGCAGCGTGGGCTGGGAGGGTGGCTCTGGTCAGACCGCCAAGACCATGTTCACAGTGGCGTCCACGACGCCAACGGAAGCCAAACCCTGACGTAACGCTCTCGTTAGGGCCCTGGAGTCGACGCGCGGACGGACAGCCAGGCGGCCAGGCGGGCGGGCAGCCACTCAAAACCCTTCCGAACCTCAGGCCCTCGCTGCTGCAGCAGGGTGAGGGGCGTGAGCGACGCCCTCGAGGGTCCTAAGGCGACAGGGCCGACAGGCGGCGCGAACTGCAAGCACCTGGCTGCAGCATGAATTACCCCCCGGGACTCAAAAGGCCGCCGGAAGAGCGAGAGAGACAGACAGACGGGCTGACAATGGCGGCGCTGGAAAAGGGGAACGAGTGCAAGAGAGACAGAGGGAGGGGCGCGGCGGGAAATTCAACCGCACGGCACGAAGCGCATGCGGCGCGGTGGGTACGTCGTGGCACATCCACGCCACAGACCGCGGTCGGGGCCGTATCAAGCGCACAGCAGGGCCAGCAGCAGGGCTCGATGCACCGCCTCCTGCCTCCAGCTACGCCGCCGACTGCGCGCCACAGCCACGGCACAGCCCAACCGCACCATACAGGGCCTTCTCAA